ATGTGTATAACATAATGTACACATTACCTGTATGTGTGTGGAAAAACTTGCGGGGAGGGGGTGTTTTTGACTTTTCACTTTATACTTTCTAAATTGTTTGAATTTCCTCAAGCATATATTACTTTTGACTAAAAAGAATGTGTATGTTTTAAAAACAAACAATGATTGGCTCATCTTCTCTGTCTGGCCAGGGTAGGCTGGGGTGCCAGGGGGAGGGTCCTGCTATCTGAATGTGCCAGTTGCCTGGGTGTGCCAATTTTGTGGCGGAGCCCCCAGCCAGAGCTGCTCACTAGGAAAAGGCAAAGGAATACGTTGCTCTGGAGACCACCTTCTAATGAGCTGTGTAGGACTCCTCGCCCCGTCTCGGCCACATCCCATGAGGGATATCTAGACTTCATACTTATTGATGTCCAGCCTACCCTCATCCTACAGATAAGAACAACTTCTTCCCAAGAGCCCTGTGTGTTGTTGACTAGGTTGCCTAACCTCTCTGAGCCTCAGCTGCCTAGCGTGAGGCCAGCAGAACAGAATGAGGCCCCAAACTACACCCACTTCCCAGGGTTGTTGTGAGGACTGAAGGAGAAAGCACACAGCAAGCCTGCTGTCCCTGCAGTGCTGGCTCAACACAATGCTAGGGAAGCATTGCCCTTCCCTGCCTTCCTTCCTCCCTAAATTCAGTCTCAGTCTCCCAGTGCCTGTGAGGTAGGAGGGGTGGAAAATGTGGTCCTCCTCTACAGAGATTACAGAACGCAAATAATGTGCCTAGGGTCACAAGTTCATGGTCTTGCTGGGTCAAAAGCCCAGAGCTTCCAACTCCAACTCGGACTCCAGCCCCAAACCATCTTTCAGCCTCGGCTCCCAGCTCAGGGTCAGGCAGTGGCCACGCACTCCGGCAATTTCTAAATAGTACTCACTCTGAGCCACACATGGGGTGGGGTGGGGACAATGAGGAATCAGGTTCTGTCCTCAGAACCTTACAGTCCAGGGGGAAAGACTCCTCATCAGCCCTGAAATGTGATGAAATAGGCCTTTCACAGGGGGGAACAGGCCCCGAGGAGGGCGTTTCAGGCCAAGGAAACAGTAGAGGCCCAGGCACAGGCGCATAAGGAGCATTGTGTATCAGGAGCCTGGGGTGGCCGGAGTGGAGGGTGGGAAGGCACCCGGAGGCTGGCTGGGACAAGGCTCTCTCCTCCTCATCTCTGTGGTCATGTTTCCCAGCAACAGCTTCCATCTGAGCAGCTCACAGGGGCAGGCACTTAACCTCACCTGAGTTCATTCTCACAAGAAGCTTGCGGCGTCTCCACTTGACTGGTGAGGAGAATGGGCTCAGAATGGCTTCATTTCCTTTATCTGTCAGGGCGCACTTTGGGCCTTGGGCCTTTCCCTGGATGTCCTCCCCAAATTGACTCACACCCTCTCCTTTCATCACTCAGGGCTTCCCAGACCCTGAGTTGCTCAGCAGCACATGCCCCGAAGCCCTGACATACGTGTCTCTACATTGCACGCTGCAGGCTGGCCCAGATATCAAGTTCCAAAGTGTGTGCAGATCTCTTCTCTCCAGATCAGCTGAGGGGTAGAGGGCATGGCTGTTCACCCCCAACTCAGCCCAGCCAAGCAGCACTGCTGTGTTTGCAATGTGCTCTCAGAAACCATGTCTCACTTACGTAAATCTTTGCACACACACCTCTGAGGTTGGGGTCATTCTTCCCGTTGTAAAAAAGAAGAAACTGAGGACTAAAGAGGCTCAGAGACTTCCTCTGCATCCCTGGCCACAAAATGGCAGAACCAGGCCTGGGACTCTGCTCTTGTTCTACTCAGGCTCAGGTCCCTGGCCACCCCAGCCTAGGGAGGGGAAGGGCCCTGGAGATATATATATCTCAGAATGGATATGCTCACCCCACCACTTGCTGGGGTGTGACTTGGAGGAGTAATTCACTGTCAGAGCCCCAATTTCCTGACCTCTGGAATGGGGATGAAACTACCTAGCAGTGCTCGTTTACAGGGTTCAGTGGCAGTTAAAGGAGAGTCTGGAAGAGAAAGAGCACCTACTGGGTGCTGTTAGGTCCCATCAGGCCTGAACAGAGTAGGCACTCAACAAATTCAGACTTAGTCCTACAGTTAGCAGTAATTCTGACCCAACATTTCTAACAGCATGGTGGCATAAAATTCGGCAAGAATGGATTAAGGAATTCAAGAGGATTACTTACTAATCAGCTAAATAACCTAAACTGCCTGGGAACAGACTAGGGTCAGGCAGTTCATTTTAATTTATTCAACAAATGACTGTTGCACACTTGGCCGAGTTGGAATGATGATAATGATAATGGCGGCACTCTCAATTATCATGAATCTACCATGTGGTAGGTACTTTATTATATGGAGTCTCATTATATCAACCTAAGGTTTATATTCCCTAAAAAGGAGGTTTTTCCCCTAAAAGGGGAGTACTAGTCAGGTCTGGTGCTAGGGAGAGGCAAACGAGGCACCCAGAGCACAATTTAAGGAGGCACTTGCTGTTAACAACTCTTCTGATACTCGCCTTACCCTAGTATCCACCCTGTGCTTGTGCTGGGCACTATGATGTACCTCCCAGACCCAAAGACCCAGCCCATTTATGAGAGTAAAAATCGACAGGACTGAGGGCAACAGGTTGCTTTAGGAGGTAGGCCCAGGAAAGAGGCGAGAGGTACCTGTTAGATCTACAGGGAGCTAGTGTAATTAAAGGCATGCCTCGTTTTATTGCACTTTGCTTTATTGTATTTCCCAGATGTTGCATTTTTTTTTTTTACAAGTTGAAGGCAAGCAAAAATATTACGACTCGCTTTATTGCGGGGGTCTGAAACTGAACCCCCAGTGTTTCCCAGGTATGCCTTTACCATAGGAGAACCAAGACTCAGAAGGTAACGTGACTTGCTTGAGGTCAGGCAGCCAGTAAGAGCCACTTCTGGAACTGGACCCTGAGGCTGTCAGAATACAAGCCTCTACGTGCTGGCAGGAAGGACACTCCATCCTCCCCTCCAGCTGGGAGGGTCAGTATCCTCCCGTGTCAGGAATTTGGGATCCAGGTCATGGACTGCCCCAGCCTCTGTTTGCTGTCTGACTTGTCAGTGTCCCCTCTGGGAGGGATGGGGTGGGAAGTCACTCAGCAGCTGGACTCCCTCTTCTATTTTCCCCCTTAACTCTAGAAAGAGGCAGGTGTTGGGTTTTTGTTGTAATCCCTTCCATATGGAGAGCACTGCAGAGTTTACCAACTGCTTATCAACCCATCCCTGACTTTGTTGCTCATTCATTGTGAGGCTATTGCCTTGTGAAATAGCAGGGCAGGGATTTTAGCCCCATTTTACTGGTGGAGAAACTGAGGCCCTGAGAGAAGAGAACCAGGATAGTGTCCAGATCAGGACCAGATCCTCCCACCCCAGTCCAGACCCCCAGTTTCTGTCTCTGGCCTGGGGTCCTGGGCAAAACCAGGGCAAACACTGGCCTTTCTGAGCCCAGAGCTCAGGCCAGTCCCTTTCCAGAAGACTCTCAGCCCTTCCTCCCTGTCCTGTCCCAGAAAGCCCCATTATCTTAGGGAAGACCTTTATTTGCCAAACACCTCCTGTCATCCACTCCACGCCTGTCCTGGTGACTCCAGAGCTGGCGCTGACACAGTGTGCTCTGGGTGAACTCACAGCTGGAGGGAGAGTCATGTCAACAAACAAGCTTGGCACGAGAGTGAAGCCCAACCCCTGGGGACAGAAGGTCTCAGTCCTGTGTTCCTCTCCATAGTCTCTGGAAGGCAGTCTCTCCTCTCCAGCCCCACTGCCCCATCCTAGCCAGATCCCTGGCATCCCTGACCCCGCCTCCTCCCAGCCTCAGTCTCTCTCTTCCAGCGTTTCTCCCACACCCCTGAAGCACCTAGGGGTCTTTCCAGGGAGTCAGTCAAGAGCAGAGGGTGGCCAGGAGCTCACGCCAGTCATCAGGACTGAGGCCAAATCCTACCAGGCGTGGACAGGCTCCATGTCCCTCATCTGTAGAATGGGGACTGTGCCTACTTCACAATGTTGCTGTAAAGCCATTAGACCTTCTTTGTCCCTTCTAGAGACCCCATGTCTTCCCCGTACATGCCCTGTACTTGTATGCCTCCCTGTCTTTAAACGGGCTCTTCACTTGCATGTCACCTTCTCCAACTCTTAAAGACATACTGATCATTCAAGGCTCTGTTCACCACACCAAACGTCACCACTTCCCTGCAGCCTGAACTGACTCCATCCCCAGCTGAAACTGCTCCCTCCTCTGGCTTTGCCTGCTGGGCCATCCTGCTTTCTAGTTCTCATCACCTTCTTCCTTCCCTGTGCCAAGATGAGTTGATTTCCAAGTCTGTCACCCTCCTACTCCCACCTGGACTGTGACTCCATGAGGGCATGCACCAGTTGGCATAGGGACTGGAATAAAGCTACCATCAATTTGCTGAATAATCATCGCTATCAATGATGGAGAGCTGCCTAGGTGTCCGGCACTGTGCTAAAGGGCTCACATTGCATTTGATCCTCACAACCACCTGGGACTGGGACTCTCTCTCTCTGAGGAAATAGCCTCAGAAACCTGAATGGATGGTGTCTTGGATAAAGGAGGCAGCCATGGTTCAAAGCCAGGGCTTCTGCTTCCTCGTGTACTCAGCTCCCTTCTGGCCTTCTGTGCTGTCTTCTTCCAGCAACAGGTGGGGGCAGCGCCCCCAAACTCTCCCAACTCCTCTCAGGAGCTGGGAAGTCCAACGTTGGTGCCCTTGGGTTACCCTGCCACCTGGCGGTGGCAGCCTCTGCCTTCCAGATTATGACATAATAGTTGCACAACTCACGGATATTTTTGAAAGAAACTGTCAATTTCCTCTCCTGGGCACTGCCAAGTGTTGTGGCCTCCATCCCACCCAGAGTCCCCAACAGCCTCAGGTCTCTAGAAGCCAAATATAGTCAAGAGTTGGAGTGATAAGGAAATGAAAATGCAAGACTGTAAAGTGACCCAGTTTTATTTTGGTTTTTGGAGACCAGATGGGGCACTGCTCCACTCTGCAGGGGTTAGGGCTGTAAAGTCTTCCCCTTCCAGGGCGGGAGGCCCAACGACTTCGAGGCCCAGGCATCCAGGGTGGTGGCCCCAGTGGATGGCAGCTCCAGGGACCCAGTGACCACAGTGGGTTGCACAAGGAGGGGGGGGGGAATCAGGCAGAGGCCTGGAATGGCTCAGATTGGGGGAGAGGGGGAGAGGAGAGGACACAGAATCCAAGAACGTGGAGTCGGAAAGGGGGTCCAGCGCCCTTCACTTTACCGCTGAGGCTCCAGGTCAGAGAGGTGATGCCAAACTGTCATTCTGCAGGAGGCAGGGCCTGGAGTGACGCCAGGTATCCCAGCCGTGTGTTAACTCCGTGCACTAGCCCGCTGCCTCCACCCTCACGGAGGGTGCGTGCTGGGGCCCAGGCGCTGGGTTCTCAGTCCACTGGGCAGTCAGACCCCTTTTTCCACTCGGGCACTCCAGGCACGCGCCCGGCCGTGCTCAGCAGCTCACCGAGCCGGCGGGCGGTGCCGACCCCAAGTCTGAGAAGCAGTCGAACTCGCTCTGGCCCAGGAAGAGCACCGGCAGCTCGCGCACGCGGTGCAGCCCGAGCTCCAGCTCCAGCGACGTCAGCGCCTCCTCGTCGATGAGTTCGGCGTCCATGCCGCCCAGGGCGTGCGCAGGCGGCGGCGGGCCCGGGGTGCCGGATTCCAGTTGCAGGCCCGGGGGGCCTCCCGGGGAGCCAGGGGTCGCGGTCGCGCGGCCTGGGCACAGCGTCGCCACCGGCTGCAGGTGCGCGCAGCCGGTGGCCTGCGGCGGCAATGCTGCTAAAGGCTGGAAGGCGGGCGGCGGCCCGAAGGCCCCGTACGCCAGTGCCCCTGGTGGGGGCGGCGGCGGGCCCAGCGGGGCCCCCCGCGGCCGCAAACCACTGTCCAGACCCGGGCCCGCATATGGCTGCAGCGTCCGGGGTGCGTGGGGACCATGGGCGGGCGCGGCGGGCGGCGGCCTCTGCACCAGGCGGTAGCCCTCGGCGAGCATCAGGTGGTCGGCCATGACGGCGGGCCGGCTGCCTGCTGGGGCGGCGGGTGGATGGTCAGCGCGGGCGTTCCCCGGTCCCCGCCAGCTGTTCCTCTGCGGCGAGGGATCTGGGTCCCGTGCCCTCCCCGCAGCCCAGCCGGGCAAAGGAAAACTGAACCGGACCCGTGCTCCTGCCCAGCCCAGGACCCACCGAACTGAGAGCTCCTGTGAGCCCCGTGGCCGGAACGCGTGACGGCGAGAACAACACACCCCCACCAGGTAGGGCTCTGAGACCTCCGCGCCGCGACCCGGGACTCCGCGACTTCTTATACCCAGAGGTGTGGCTGCCCCGTCCCCGGGCGCTCATTGGCTGGATGAGACGCTGGGTGGGCCAGAAGGTCTTAATCCCGCCCCCGTTGGAGCTCCGCCCTTTGGACCCTGGGCTGTGCAGCCAGCTAGGAGTGCTACTCTGGTGGTTTGACGCTTTTCGAGGGGCTATGTCTGACTATCCCAGGCTCAGCCTCAGTGCTGGCTGGGGCCAAGTTTGAATTGACCAGAAAGTGGGGTGGGAGGGCCCGAGGTTTAGGCCCCCAGAGCTGCTGGATCACAAGCCCAATCTCTTAATTTTTCAGATGGAGATAGAGGTTCAGTGGCAGAAGGGTTTCCTTGGGAATGAATACACAGCAGATCCTGGACAGAAGCGACATTCGAACCCAGCCCTGTGATTGCCACTTCTACACAGGCACGGACACCTTAGCAGTGCAGGGCCGTACAGGTCAGCTGCCCGTCCCCATAACCCAGGGGAGCCAGTTGCTCCTTCTCCGGTTCTCACTCACTCGTCTGTGGAAGCATGTACTGAGTTGTTATTAAAGTAATTTATGGGCATGTCTCCTGAAGGACTCGTTCATCTTTGTGACCTCAGCACTTGGCCCAGAGCCTGGTCCAGAGCAGGCGTTTAGTAAAAGTTAGGTGAACGAACAAATGAGGGAATGAATTGCAGCTCATTCTCCTGAGTTTTAGTTTCTTCATCTGTAAAATAGTGACAACAGCAGCACCTACCCCACTGGGCTGTTGTGAGGGTTAAATGAGGCGATGTGATGTGTGTACAGTGCTCAACACAGTGCCTGACGCATAGTAGGTGCTCAAAACTGTACCTCAAATGAATGAAAGGCTGGATGTAGTTCTGTCCCTGGAGATCTGAGTGGGGGATGCTGCACCTTCCCTAGATAACAATAATCTCTTAATTTTTCAGATGGAAAAACTTGGATGGTTTGAGTGCTTTACCTTCTACAAGCATCTTATTGGGGGCAGGGCGTGGATTATCAGCCCCATTTTTCAGATAAGGAGACTGAGGCACACAAAGGGAAAGTGGCTATTCTGAGGTCAAGCACAGCCAGAGGTAGCATGTGAATGCCTGTGTCCTTAGAGCAGCTGGAATTTCTCCCTGTGGCCAGGAGACAGCCTCCCTGAACCTTGCTCTGCACGAGTTTGCCACTCCGCCCCTCCCTTCTCTGGCTCCCCTACACTGGTAGTGGCCTTGAGACTTCCTGGTACTTGGGTTTATCCATTTGATACAGAGAGGAGAGCCCTAGAGTGAGAGTCCAGAGGCCCTAGTTCTAATCATATCTCCACCACCTGAAGACACTATGACTGCTGGATATCGGGAGAAAGGTGTCACTTGGTTCCTAGGGCCTGGGCTTCCTGCTCAGTGAAGGGAGATTGTAATCCTTGCCCTGTCACCCTGAGAGCTTGTGGGAAGGTCACAAGTGACCATGGGTGTGATCACATTTTTTTTTTTAAGATTTTTATTGGGAAATTGGGGGGATGGGAACAGTGCTGGGGAATTGGGGGAAGTGGAACAGACAAGTTGCTGTCGTTTCGTTCTTCAGTCTAGTTGTGGAGGACGTTGCTTCACTGGCCCAAGTTGGCACCATCATTGTGCTTTTCCTGGGCAAGGCAAATCAGTCGCCGGCTTCTGGACGGCCGCTCACTGTGGCTGCTGGCCGCTCACGCTGGCTGCTGGCTACATAGGGTAGCCCATGGCAGTGTCACTGGCCCTCATATGTGGGATCCAAACCGGGGCCCTCTGGCGTCCCAAGCCAGTTCTTAACCATCGCACCACTCAGCCGGCCCTGATCACATTTTTTTTGCAAAGTGTAAACCTGCACACTGGAATTCATTCTCCTGAATCTCTCTCCAATAAAGGCTTCACACAGAAGTTCCTTAACCTGGTTGCACCTCAGACTCACCTGAGGTGTATGTGGGGTTTGAAGGGGAGGGGACCTTGAAAAGTACCAAATTTGTGGCCCCACCCAAACTTCCTGACTCAGACTTTTTGAGGGTATTTTGAATCATAAGAATTTGTACTTCTAAAAAACAACCCTGTCATTCTGACATAGTCAATCTAAGGACAGCAACATTTGGGAACCATTGTGCCATTATACCATTTTCCTTTTTTTAAAAAAGTGTGTATATATGTGGATAATGTCTAAAAAGTTCTTTAATTTCATCAACAAATATTTTTTGAGCACTTACTCTATGCCAGGCATGGATCTGCTAGTGGTTTTTAAGATTTTGGGATCAAGTAATTCTTTGAGAATCTAATGAAAGCTGCAGATGTCATGGTCACAAACTACTGCATATAAATTTGGCAAGTTAGCAGCCCTTTGGGGCAGGGGTTGGCAAACTGCGGCTCACGAGCCACATGCGACTCTTTGGGTATGTACATGCGGCTCTGAAGTAAAGTTGGAAATTAAAATAAAACTATCATAGTTTCATTTATACAATTTTTAAAGGATATTATTCACATAATGGTGATTTCATTTGTTTTATGGCTCTCGAATAATTTTTAAATTGTTGTGAGGGACAAGATTGGCTCTACCGTCTCAAAAGTTTGTCGACCCCTGGTCTGGGGGATCCATGGGGTGCTCAGGGGTTCATGGAGTCTGGGTTAAGAACCCCTCTTAGGGGTCAGATGAACTCATGACTTGTTAGGGAGATCACTTCATGGACGGTGTAGAGGCCTGACCACTGCACTGTACATCTGAAGCTGCTGTTCAATAATATTGCATGTCAACTAAGAGTTGATATATATGTGGTCATGGGATGTGGAGTACAGTGCGCGGAGTGGAGTTGATGGAATTGTGATAGATATGGATGATATCGGGGGAGGTTGATTGGGGGAGGAGGGTGGTCACTTTGTGAGGGGTGAAAAGGATAACTATTGCATTGTTTTGTACACCTAAAACTAAAAAAAAAAAAAAAAAAGAACCCCTTTTAGGGGAGTTCTTAAGGACATAGTTAATAACAATTATCCACATATTAGAAAGTGGTAGGTACTATGGAAAAAAGGAAAAGTAGAGTAGGGGAGAGATTGGGGGTACAGGGGGGCAGCTTACACTATTGCATGGGATGGTCAGAGTAGGCCTCACTGAGACCATTTGATTTGAGCAAAGGCTTGAAGGAGGAGAGGGCATTGGCCACATGTTTTCTTGGGCAAGAGCAATCCCAGTAGACGGAACTGGAGTGTGCTTGTAAAATTGTAGTTCTAAGAACCTTGCTAGAAGTGCTCATTCTGGGCCCCATCCCAGCCTGAATCAGTTTCTGAATCAGTAGCTGGGCTGGGACTCAGCCATCTGCATTTTAATAAGCCCTGCAGGTGACTCCAAGCCCCTGAGTTAGGGTAACATCTCAAGGCAGGTGTGAGCAACAGCCAGGGGGGAGCGTGGCTGGAGCAGAGGGAGCTTGGGTAGGGGTGGTGTCAAAGAGAGAGGAGGAGGAAGAGGAGGAGGAAGATACAAGGCCTTATGGGGCCCTGTAAAGACTTTGGCAGAGGTGTGACATAGCTAACTCACGCTGTGACAGCATTGCTCTGGTTGGACCCCGTTAGTTCCTAGCATTTCCATGTACAGCCTCCTTGCTCGACCTTGGACTTCGGGGCTCTTGCTCTTACCTCTGCCTGGAATGCTCTTCTCGCAGACATCCACGTGGTCCGCTCCTTCCCTTTGTTCTCATCTCCATCTAAAAGCCACCCCCTCAGAGAGACCTTCCCTGACCAGCCTTCTCTATCTCCTCCTCCTGCTCTGCTTTTCTTCTTAGCACCTACCACCACTTGGCATTATTTCAGGTAATGTCTCCTCACTAGCAGCTCGGCTCCCTGAGAGCAGAGGCTTTGAATGTCTTTCACAGAAAGTTCTGCACATATTTCTAAGGCATCAGAAGAGTGCTGGGCACACAGCAGGGACTGAAGTGTCTCTTGAATGAGTAAGTTAGGCAGGGCAGAAGCTATTATCTTTTCTGACAAAGAAAGAGCCCAGGAAATAACTCAGGAAGGTGGCCGAGGTCACAAGGTGTGTGTGGCAGAGCCAGGGTCGAAAGCGATGTTTGTAGTCCTTGGAGCACAGCACTCCCCACTGATCCAAACTGCCTACATCCTGAGCCACGCCTTTAGGAGCCCATTGTGGGGGAAGATGGGGGCGGGGGGCGGGAAGCTCTTGAGTCCACCTAGCATGAGTTGACAACAGGGCCACAGTAGCTCTTGGCCCTGACCAATGGAAGGAACTGGAAGTCCTAGGGACAGTCTTGTGCCACCAAGCGAGGATGCAGTTCTTCCTGCTCCTTCCTTATGTCCAATCCCCTTTCTTGAGGACATACAGAAGGATCCACCCCAAGTGGCTTCTGCCTCTCCCAAAGACTGCATGTCCTGGTTGGCAGGATCTCTTGGGTTGTACTCTTGCTGACAGCCCCATTTCCAGTACCCAAGGCAAAGCAAGGCTCAGACAAGTCTCAGCAAATACTTGTCCATGGACTGACTGAGACTGGAAGGCTCATGAGAGGTACCTGGGAAGGCGTGGCTCTAGAACCTCTGGACTGACTGCCTGGTCCCTGGCTGAGCCGCTCCCACCACCACCCCAGCAGCTTGGCAGACTTGGCACTTAAACCTGGAGACTGCTCTGACACTCGAAGTCCAGGCTCTGACTGGCAAGCACAGTTTGTCTCTTCTGCAGCTTTTTCTTTAGGTTACATAGGAGAGGAGAAGTTTCTAACACATCCCCTAAGAGGCATGTCCTCCCAGCTGATGATTTGCACGAGTGTACCTGATGCTCAGATGATAAGAATGAGGCTACTGTGCCTGATTGTAACAAGAATAATATTAGTTCATGTTTATTGAGTATTGACTACGTACCAGACATGGGCGGGATGATTTACATGTATTATCTTATTTAACCCACATGAAAAACCTGTGAGTAGTTACTTCTGTCATTTCCATTTCACAGAGAAGAAAACCGGGACTCAGAGAGAGAAGCGACTCACCCAAGGTCACACAGCTAG